GTGTTTCGGCCTCGGGGCTGAGTCTTGGGATTTGGGGCTTGGGGCTTTAAGGTGTCATCTGGACGACACCCAAAACCCTCAACCCTTTATCCTCATTCCTATAAGCCATAAACCCTCAACCCTAAGTACACCCTAAACCCAGTAAACCTGGGGAGATGCTCGGAAAATGCCTCGAAGTGGGGCTGCAAGTACCTGTGAAAGTGGCGATTCAAAGCTCTATGGGAAAAGGCACTCGCATGTGGCACCATCCCAGAAGGCCCCTCGGGGCACGCAGCCATCATCACAGGCCCTCCGAGCCCTGCAGCAACCCACAGGGGGTTGCCGCAGAAGGGGCAGAAGTGGTAGCTGGCACCTGAGAGCTAACTCGTGCCACTGAGCCCTTGTAAGGCACTCCGCACGCGCTGAGTCCAGGGCTACACAAGGCTCCACAGCACATCACCTGGAGGGTGAGGGTTCAGGGTTACATAGGCTCTAGGGATATATTGCAGTAGGTCAGGGCATAAGAGTTCAGATCGGAGTTTAATAAAGTTATATACATATATACAAATTGTCAAGCCGGGGCTCTTCAGAAGTTTGCGTCAACGAACTTCGCAAGTCAGATATGCATCACGCCCCTCTCCAGCGCGATTATCAGAACCCGTCCATCCAGATTCGCACTATGTTCCCGAGGCCCTAAAACCCAGATGTTTTCAGGACTCTTGTTGTGCAGCTGAAACGAGCCCTTAATCCTTACAGTCCTAACATGCCGGACTGGATTCAAACACCAATCCTATCCTGCATGATAGAAGCCTTATACTAAACCGTACATAAACCTTTACACGGACCAATACAGGCAAACTCTCTCTCTCTCTCTCTCTCGCGCCCGCCTAATCATAAGGAAACCCTAATCATCTGTGCTATGTTAGTTGCTAGGAAGCTCCTGAACCCGAAACTGCAAACCCCTAAACCCTCTAAACCGTCCTAAACCCTAAACCCTACCCCAACCCTAAACCCACAAATTGTAAACCGCAAACCCTAGACTCTAGACCCCTAAACCCCAAAACCCCAAGCCTAAACCCGCACATCCTAAACCCTCAAACCCTAGACAAACCCTCACACCCTAGACCCCTAACCCTAGAACCCCAACTCCAAACCCGCAAGTCCTAAACCCTCAAACCATGGACCCCTAAACCCTAAAATACCCCTCAAACCCCAAACCTTAAACCCTCAAACCATGGACTCAGCAATCGCCTCGCTCAACCTAAAACACTTGCGAACAACATCAGAAACTCCACAGCAAAGGTGCCAGGGTTCCATGCAGGGTCAGGGGTTCCGGTGTCACCGTTTGGGGTTTCAAGGTTGTGGTTTTGAGGTTGGGGTTTCAGGGTTGTGTTTTTGGGCTGGTGTTTCAGAGCTGTTGCTTTTGGGCTGGTTTTGGGGGTTGGTTTTCCTTGAGTTCTGATTTCTAGTTGGGTTTGAGGTAAGTTTAAGGTATGCCGACGCCCAAGAGTTTCCGACACTTCATCCGCTCTGGATTATCCTTGATTGATGGTGTTAGTCATATCAGCGATCCCTCCATACCCAGGAGAGCCCAATTTCCCGAGCCTTAAATTAGTCCTTGTTGCCAGTGGGGTGCATTCAACCAGAGCTCTACATTGAGCACCATGCTCTGAACATCGAGAAGGTAACTGTAAGGGCCTTAACTCGAATAGGGATCTGGGCTCCTTTATAGTATAAATACAACAAGGAACCGTATGGAATAGTGTAAGTATTTAGGCTTCCCTATTACTTCCGGCCTCGGGGGCAGCGACCGCATAAATGGGCAGAGGCACCTCAGTACTGGTACAGTAGTAACTGCAGTAGTCCCAGTGCTGATACTGAATACTCGAAGGAACCGTTTACAACCAGAATAAGCATCCTCATAGCCATGACAACAATAATAGCGACACTCACACTAGCAGCCAATAGTCACCAGCAATATTAAAAGCATAAGCCCCTGATACACCGGACTGAGCACTCTACCCACGGAAGCATAATGTCAGCAGACCTCGGGCATGAAGAGCAGAACAATCGACAAGTGCATGCCAGCTTCAAACACCCCTCCAAGCACGAGGCATGCCATGCGATTGGGTTGCAAGCGAAGGCGAGTTCTGCAGCCTGAGGGCACGCAGTGTGTCTTGGCCTGACCCGAAGTCGAAGCGCATCAAATCACCGCTCCGTTCGGCCGAAGTGTCTTCCAAGACCTACATGTTCTTGTCAGGTCCCGGCAACATTGGGAAGAAAGGCATCTGCCCGCATTGCCTCACGTATCAGTGTAGGACGCAGTACTTCGAAGGTCTAGTCACACAGGGCTTGCGGAGGTGAAGGCAGGCATCTGCTGCAGCTAGAACTGGGTTCAAGGCATCTGCCCATTCTGTCCGCTGTGCTGCATTTGCCCAGGAGCCTGCATCCTGAGATCAGGCAAACTTCCTTTCCGTAGCATTGCCGTGAATCCGATTATTCTGTCCCAAAAATCCAAACTGCCGACTGAGCCCACAACAGAAAGTCAGTGACCCAGCTTTCGGGCAATACCTGGAGAGCTCAAAGGACAAGCGCTGGGGGAAAGCTTAGCTAGTTGCCTTCCCTAATGTAGGAGCCTAAATAATTACCAATATCATGGTGGGGGTTCCTTCATATAATTATAGTATACTGGGCCCCAAAACCCTATTCTAATTATTAAGGCCCCTACATTAACATCTCCTCCGATCAAATGATCCGTGCGAGGACTGAGCTTCTACCGCCAACGTGCCTCCACCGGAAGTGGAGTTGTGTAGTCGATATCATCCTCCCACATCGTTCGACCTTGTCGATCTGCAAACTTATTGAGCTGGAATGCTTGCAGATCTTATGTTGGTCGTTTTTGGTTGCCGACAAGGCAAGCCTTGAGTTTCGATATATCGAACACGCTCTTCCTCAAGACCCAACAGGCCTCCCTGTTTGCCTCAACACCGGCCTAAGTTCAGAGTTCTTGAGCTGCATACGTCAGAGATCTGGGGCGTGGGATTTCTTGATCAGTTCCGAAAGACCATGTGCAAGCTTGCAAAGCAAGAGACCATGAGAAAGGTTGCAAATGGCAAAGCTAGCAATTGAACTCAGTTCCCGGTGTTGCTCTGAGCTGGTGCTGTCTGCTGAGAGCAGCGGCGCTCATGGCGCTGGTGGTAGCACGGACACAGCTTGTCGGCGCATGCCTCCCGCTTCACATCGTCTCCACTCGAAAACACAAATTTCATGCTGTGAGCAATCACACTGATTATCCAGGTCTGCGCCTGCCCGCACATCACCGTCTTGAAGTAGTGTGGGTGGTAGAGTTGCTCCTGAAGCAAGGCTGCAGCAGAGGCCGAAGACTTCAACTCACCTCCAGTTCGAGTCCTTGGCACCATGCGAGTAGGGGCAACGGAGGCCGAGCGGACAGCGGTGCGAGTACTCGGCACCGGTGTCCTCCAGGCAGAACCCGCAGGAGTAGCAACAGCCATGCACAACTCTAACAATGCACCACGACCCCTGCTCACCAGCGATTTGCGGAAACATGCAGTGTTTGCAGTACATTACTGAGGGAGCAGCGGTCAAGCTCACAGACGCACATTAGATCCGGGCCTTGTGGCTCCAGTATGGGCACGGCCTCTGTCCGGCAGAAGACAAGCTGCACAACGTGCATTATTACATGACAGACGGATTTACTGATCCGCCACATATTAAGCTACTATCACTATATATTAATGCAAGCACCAGGCTCCATGCTCCGTACGCTCGAAAGTGGTTGCCCCTGGTGGCTGTGTACAGTGTACGAGTTGCTTGAGTGAGAAGATCCGGCGAGAGGACGGATCCACTGCAAATCTCGTGCATCCGCAGCCAAGGCCTACTCCAGCTGAACATTGCGAGCACGAATCACTTCCGGCGAATGGTCTCTGGTTGATACTGCGGGCTGTCTGGCTCCCGGTCTCTGCTGAGAAAGCGACATGGCTCCGTAGCCGATGGTGGCAGGGCGCCGTGCATCCTCCAACATACACCGAGAGCAGCACACTCGCTTGGACCACCGCCACTGCAGCAACCCTGGGTTGACAGATCGCCGGTGGCGCACATGTGCAGAAGCAAGGAACACTCAACCTCCCGCAACATCAGGTGATCCCGAACAACAAGCATGTCCTGCATTAGATGCCCACCCAGGCCTGGTAGGTGTGCGCATAAACGCAAGTGTGCCAGTCGTGCTGCTTGTGGATTGGGCACCAGGTCATCTTGTACTTGTACATGAAGAAGTCATCTGTCAAGGCATGTTGCTCCTGCTGCGGGTCAGAGTCAGGACGTCGTTCAAGGGTCTCCGGGGCACATTTCCGGTTACTGCACAGGCTCCTGGTTCTCAGCAGTGGACAGAAGCGGAACTCCAATCTCCTCAATCAGACCAGGCTTGAGATGCCCAGGAAGCAGCAGCTTGGGATGTGAAACTCCCGGCCGGTGTACTTTCACACCCTTGTCTCGAGAGTTGCATCCCTGCCTCGCGAGAGTGTGCAGTGGCACAGCCGGCGCCGTGGTGACACTGATTGACCTTGCCACGTTCTGATGCACAGTACCCAACACATGAGGGCATCTTGAAAGCAAAATCGCTCGATTTTCTGAGTCTTAGTGTCGCTCATCTGTATAGGAGGTGCACCAGCGCCGCTTGGATTTGGAGGCACGGTTTCGGTTCCTGGCCAAGCAACACCAACAACGGACTCAAAAGCCACAACAAGCCTCGCCTCAAACCGGCGCAACATTCAGCCAACTGTTGGATGAGATTTCGAAAACATTTTCTGGTAGCATAGCAGCATAGCTGGGAATTGGGAATGAACTTTCTGACGCTGATGCGAACCTCTGCGACCCATCGTCCACGGCCTCGTTTGCACCAAGTCGGGTTCATGTCAAAGCACCACTGCTATCCTACATGATAGAAGCCTTATACTAAACCGAAAAGAAGCCTTTACACTTTACACGGATCAATACCGGCAAACTCTAACTCTAACTCTAACTCTCTCTCTCTCTCTCTCTCTCTCTCTCTCTCTCGCCGGCATAACCAAGGCAACGTGCTAGTCATCTGTACTATGCTAGCTATTACTGTGAAGCTCCGCGAATCCCCTGAACCCGAAACCCGAAGCCCCAACCCCTAAACCCTAAACCCTAAACCCTAAACCGAACCCGCACATCTGGGTTTACAGCTGAGGTTTCGGGTCCCGGGGCTCAAGGACTCTAGGGGCTTCGGAGTTTAGGGTGTCCGACTTCGGATCCTTTTCGCATTTTCCGGTTGTGGCTCAAATACAATACGGAACCCTAACGAATACTGTTCGTAAGAGTTCAGGCTTCTACATTACTTCCGACTGATCCTCGACTCCGACGAGGTTGCCTTTAGCTGCACGTCTACACTCGATCCTGATGGAGGAGCTTCGGTCTGAGGCCCCTGACGGTTGGTACATAAGTCATAAGTCTGTCTGGTGCCTAGTAGGTAATGGGGGAATGGATCCCTATAATAGTCGCTTAAGATCCCTCGTAGTGGTTCCCATTCCCTACTAAGAACCAGACAGAAGTGGGTGTAGCAGGCGCTGACCCTGCTCTCGATGCAGGCTCCTGCACCGGCATCGTGAACATGGCGACTTCCCTTCAGCTCGTCTTTCCCATGCCTCGCTGTGATTCTGCGGCATGTTCGCCTTCAACAGGCAACGCGGCTCCGATCATCCAAGTTCGGCGTCCCGCTTCACAGCTCAGAATCTGAATTAGTGAAACAATGCGTGACAATGCACACGCACACAAATCCGGAAAGCACACTAGCACAAAGCCATCGGGCACGACTCTCTTCTTCAATAACGCGCAATGTCAAAACCTTTGGATTTCGGATGCAATGTAAGCTCGCCTTGGCATCAGATGCCCCAAGATTGCTGGATGCCTCAGTTTGAAAGGAATTGTCGCCTGATTCTATTCAACTTGTGGTCCTGAAACCTTCTTCAACAGACTATATACATGTTTGGAGCTGAACATTTGAGTGATAACACATGGCACGAGCGATATCCTCTGAGCACTCCGTCAATTCGACACCGCAGCCGTAGTAAATGAATAGCCCTGAGCCCAAGGTGCAGAAGCAGGCGCTGGCGGTGGTGCAGGCTCTTGTGCTCGTGCATGGACAACCGACACGCCAAATCAGCTCTAAACTCGGAGTCCCCCCACCCAACAAGCGCAGCTTTTCAACCACCCGACAACCACCCAAAACAGATACAAGCCCTTCAAGGTCAGAATGGAGCTTGAACAGCCGCAACTACAGACCCCTTTCTAGTACCTGTGACGTCCTTGCCCTGCATCCCAGCATAACGGGTGGTCAAACTTTGGGGTTATGAAGGTTACTTACTTTGCTGCAAAGGTTAGACTTATGCTTCGTCCGTCCCTAACCCCCCTCAACGTTCCCGTCGGAAGACCTCGGCGGTCTCCTCTGCTTCTCTAAGGAGATATTGCTCCTTCAAGACGGAAGGCTTGGAAAATGAAAGGAGAGCTACGGGGAGGGAGAGACACGGAGATAAAAGGCAGATGCTACAAGTAGCCCACGGGGAGGAAAGGAAGAAAGAATGGGTCCTTCATCTTTCTGTCTTCTGTTGCTTCAGAAATTGTGGCCGGAAGGGTCGGGCAATGTGGTATCTGCTGAAACGACGCTGCTTGTTTGGCTCGACGAAGGAGATCAGCTGTTACAGCTGACATGTTGCAGAACCTCGACAAGCCCGCCAATCAAAACAGTCCAGCACAAGAAGATCCTGCACTCCTCGAAAAGCGGAGGATCAAAGTTACGTAGCTTCGAATCTGACAAAGAAACGTCCTACAAACTGTCGTTAGAAGGGTCGGGCTCTCTGCACAAGTGCTAAAAGCGACGTTGCTGCTCGTGCCATGACCGCTTCAGCCACGGCTGCAAAGATTCTGGCTGAGTGCTTTTGCCCTCTAGGGTTCGAGGCTGCAGATGCCAGGAATTCACAGTAGGCTAACTTTTTGGAGTACAACTTCTGACGGCAGGCCTTAGCGGCTTTATTGTTATAAGATGGGGTTTCAATTTAACTCCAGGGTTTAGCGGTTGGCATGCAGGCACTTGAGCGCTCTGTTGTCTGTGTATGTAATGTCAGTAACATGGGTGATGGATCTTACTGTCGGAGCTATACTTCATTCCTCAAACCGTCTCCAACCTACCCCGACAACAAAGCCTTGCACCTGCAAAACCTCCAGCCCCAATGTTGTAGGCGTCGAAGCCCTACCACAACCCTAAAGCCCCGCGGCCTTAAATCCTAAAGTCTGAAATCGAAAGCTCCGTCCTGCAGCCATATCTCGACCCGTCGGAGAATCATTCGGGTTTCCCATTTTAACTGGCGTGGAAGACAGTTTGCAAGGAAGCGGGGTCCACCGTACCCCAACCCTACAGAGTTCCCTCAGGGGATCCTTTCATGGTTCCTTAGCGGATTCTATGAAGCTGGCGCTTTGGGCTTTGGGACTTCGGGTTTACAAGGCTCTATGCAATGAAATAATTAACATGGAGCTGGGCTAAGATTTCCGGCAGGGGTCCTAGAAGAGGGGCTTTGGGTTTTGGGGTTTGGGATTGAAGGGTTTGGGGAGGGGAATTTTAGTGCTTTAGAGTTGACTTTGGATTATCGAGGTGGTTCTTACGCTTTCCAGGCATGGGGGTCTGTCGACTTGGAATTTCAAAGGTTCGCAGCAACATGCCAGCTATTTCTAGCTTTTTCTGAGGTGATCTTGGAAGACCTTTGCACAGTGTGCTTCGCTCCTTCTGAAGATTAAACTCTTCGAACATTGAACAACATCTTCAACAACTGCCACGATTCTCATGAGTATCGTAATCAGTCTGTTGCGCTGCTACTGCTGCCACCACCACCATCACCACCGAGACGAAGATGATTGAACCTGTATATAACCTCAAAACTCCTGCGAGGAAATGCTGACGAGCGGCTCTCGGCTCTCGCTTGCGTGATCCTAGGTAGTGGCTATAAGGTGAGAGGCATCTTCAATGGTATGGGAAGAGAACATGTATAATTCATGTCGCATGACTTTGCTAGTGAATGACCAGACTCGCTACACCTTTGCACTCCCATAACAAAACATCAAGAGCTTGTAAAGCTCCTAGTCTGAATACACCCGTTCATTCATCGAAGTCTCTTTACTCGACTCCTCCCCGAGTGATGCAATCAACTGTCGGAGCTGTTCGTGCTTGGTTTTAATCTATTTGAAGCAGTTTATGTAGTCTTTGTTGGAGGTGGCACCGGGCTGTAACGGCTATAGTTAAAGCCCTGACACCGAAGCCCTGAACAGTTCGGTGTTCATGGATAACGCTTTGACCCAAGGCTACTGTCAGAGCTGTGACGATAATTAGGGGCTTAGGGCTTTACGGCTTTGGGGGTTCAGCGGTTTAGGGTTTTGGGGGTTCAGGGGTTTAGGGGTTAAGGATTCGGGATCAGAAGCTACTACTGGAGGCCCTGTTGACTTAGTAAGTCTACTTAGTATCCCCTACGGGACAAGTGCAATGTGCATGACACGACGAAACAAAAGGGCAGCTTCGCATACCCCCTATTGTAATCTCCACAACCCACCTTACTAGCCCCAAAGGTTTTCATAAAGCCAGGGCTCTGAAATTAGATCATGAGAAGCTTAGCCCCAAAGCACTTCTAGAAAGCCTTGCGAATACCTTAAAGGAGCCGAACACGGAAACTTGCACCGCCAACTGCAAGGGTTCAATCAACTGGCGGTTGCTTGATACCATTCAGGAACACCCAAACTGGCTCTCTTGGTGAAGCACGCGAAGCGACACCGCGACCTCCTGAACATATCATGAGGTACGGAGATTGCATGACAATGCCGCGCATTGCCCCTTCCGGACGCTGCAGCAAACGACCCTATTTCCCAAGTTCCTTTCGCTGCTAGATCCTTCCAACATGGATGCGTTCTACTGCTGCTCTACTTTAGTGCTCTCCCCGGACAACGAGTTTGAAGTGGCTCCTGCATGTCACAATCAGCTGGCAATACATCAAAATGTTGACGTTGGTGTCACACTTACGCCACAACCCGAACGCAAACTGCAACACTTCAATCAACTGCATATTGCTTCATACCATTGAGGAACACCGAAACTCGCGCTCCTGGTGGAGCAATGCAACCGGTCTGCCCGAAGCAGGAAGAGGAACTAGCCACTCCTGAACATCTCATGAGGGACGAAGCTTGCATGACCATGCCACACACTGGCCCTGCTGGACACTGAAGCGAAAGACGCTGCTCTATCCTTCCAGTGTGGATGCATCTACTGCATTCTACTGCTGCTCTCCTTGAGTGCTCTCCCCTGCATCCCCGAACAGCGAGGACTCGTCGCCTGAAGTGGCTCCTGCATGTCACAATCAGCTGATCATACATCAAGGGCTCTCGATTCAAAGCTTCCGCACAGATTCCTTGCCTATCTGCTCCCCGTCTCGGCGATGCATACCCTCATATGCCAAAAGCAACGCGAATTCGACTTGATCTTAACCGCACATCTACGAGAAGCCCATCAGCCACATCTCCTCCTCTCCTCCTACAAGCCTCAAGGCATACTGCTCGGGCAGTCCTGGACCACTGGCCGAAGTGTGCTCGAAGAGTGCCGAGGTGTCCGATCCTAGTCAGTAGAGTTGTGAACAAACTACCAGCTTCTTCAGGTTCTTGAGCACGAAATGTTGACGTTGGTGTCACAGCTCTATGGCTCAATTGCACGTATCCACAGCATCGCCATGCGATCTGCGCTCCTTTGGCAGAAGCCGTCGAGAAGAGCTCCTGGCACGGAGGGCGTCGCTTCTACAAACAGCGAACAGAGCTGGGGCTCCAGCTCCAGCAAGCTCTTGTGAAGCATAGCCGCATGAATCATGTTCGCGCCGGATGGTTGTTTGGCTCCAGATTTGTCCGAACTACGGCCAGGTTCCTTGGCAGGGCCTGGAAAAACACAGTTGGAACTGTTTCGAGCCTCTGGTTCGCTCGGAAAACCGAAACATGTCCGGAGGATGAGGTGGGATGGGCCATCAAAAATGCCGAAAACTAGGCCAACATACATTGCATACATTTCCAAGCCGGGGCGGAGAGGTTTGTGACCGGTTTAGGGTTTAGGGTTTGGGTTTTTTACTTTTGGGATTAGGGAGGTGACGGGTGTACAGGGAGTTATGTAGAGTTTAGGGGTGGCGTGGGCTTTTCACCACTGGCTTCCTCTACTCCCAACCCTCTGACTTTAGGAAACCTGAAACTATGCCCGTCACTCAAAACCCGCAGACTGGCCTCCTCGGCTAGCAGTTGCCAGCATGCCTGAGCTCGTCTGTGGTTTGCGTCTTTAGGGCCTGTGGGAGTTGCGGCTCTGTGTGCCAATAAAACTGAGGTTCATAGGACTTTTGGGCGATCAAATCAGCGGCTCCTGTAGGAATGCGCAGCTTGAGAGTTCGGGTTTGTGAATAGTTCGAAGGGGTCTGCGCACTATCGCAACCTGAAAAGCCCAGTTTCCCCAACCCGCCTGCCCAGACCCTGATGCGCAAACAGACCCCCCAAATCATTAAACCCGAAATCCCGTAACTCGTAACCTAAACCTACACCCTTAAATCCTTAGCCTGCAACCCTAGAAGCCCCTGCCAGTACGAGCGAGGCTTCACCCCAAGCTCCAGGCATCTTTCAGAGCCCACCTCGGAGAGATTGCGGGAAGTGCTTTCTCATCTATGGGCTCGCTGTACGATGTTGTTTGAGGACGTGGCCGCAAAGCTGCACCTAGAGGACAGACTTCCCCTATCATTTCTGGACCAGCAACCTGTCAGACACCCTCCCGTGCAGCGTCGCAAACGCTGCCCGGAAGAGCGCGCAGGCTGAGGTCGTGGCATCATCTTCCTGAATTGTTGGGAGTTGGGACTGCATTGTCCAGTTTTGCTACGTTCGATGTTGACTGCCACAATTGACCCACCTCTCCCTTTCAAAAGCCTCCAGCAAAAGAATAGGGCTACTCTCAAGCTTCGGGCTTCAAGATGGATCTCATGGCGTGTGTTGTCGGGCCCTTCTCCTACGGGCCGCGGACATGCTTGCAGATGCAAGGGCGTCTTTGTCTCGCCGCAGCTTTCGCAGCCTTCTGGGCTCGTTTGAGCTCTTTCAAAACCACGAACCTTTGCTTCTGGTTGTGGGAAAGCTGTTTCTCATTCGGCGGATCCATGTTTGCAGCCGCTCGTTGAACTGCAGCATCTGCGAGAAACGCCCTGGCGGCTGCATTCTCTGCCGCCGCCTTCTTCCGCATCACCTCGCCCCTGAACTCCTGCCCACTCCACGCATAGGGAGCTCCGTCCCTATCTTCAGCTGTGATGGTCAAGGTTGACTGGTGGCAGTTGTCGTCGCCCTGCTTTACCTCCACGGTGTTGTAGCAAATTCCAAGATGGTGGAGGCTGTTATTGCCATGTTGAGCGTGCTTCAATCGCCTTGGGGCTGCTTTCGAGGATTCGCGTTGTTTTGAAAGAGAACAAACAACGATGACGCAAAGCAGCCCCGCTTCAGCCACAGAAAGAACAACTTTACACAGGTCTAACTCAGCGCGGGACTGCATGAAGCCAACCACGACGTTCTTTTCCTGGCCAGGGTTCTTCGTCAGATCGAAGCCAGGGGCTTTGCTCCTGTCCCTGTGCTTCTTTGGCTTGTGCGTCTTCTTCTTCCACTTGGAGGCAGTGTCGATTGAACCCGGCAAGCGCACCTCCAACTCGTCTTTGAAACTGCTGCTGCCGGGCAACGGTGGCGAAGGACTGCTTGTGCGCGAGGGCGATGGCGACATGCTCTCGTGTGTTGCTACCTCCCCAGCCTCATCCACTGACGTCTGACGCCAGGCTGTAGGCATCGTCTGCTGGCTAGAGCCTGACAAACCCGACTCCCACCCTCTGTCATCTGCTGTAGCCATCGGATGGCCAACATCCGGCTCGTCCGGCTTCCCGGACCCCTGCTGGCCAGATCCCGTTAGAACTTCGCGCAGCTTTGGCGATTTTGGCGGGGTGTCCTTCAAACCTGCGCTCAACGCCTTCTGCTTGTTCGATCGAGTGGGCGTACGGCTGCGCGCCGGCGACTTGCCAGAGGCACACGAGTTGCTGCTGGAGCGCCTCCTGGCTCAGGCTCTCTCACTGTGTAAGTATGGTCAGCTACCATTGGACACCAACTAGGAGGCTTCGCGCAACATCGCGCACCAACTTAAGATGCTGGGAGCCAGTCCTGTCGTACTTCTTCTTCTTGGACTTCGTCTTCTTCTTCTTGGCAGTGTCGGTTGGACTTGGCCTGCTTGTGCAGGAGCTTGAGGACGACTCGCTGTCGGGTGCGTCTGCCTGTACTTCCTCATGCACGGGCGTTTGAACGGAGGCTGCAGGCATCTGATTCCTGGAGGCCGATCCCTCTCTCTGAAGCTTCCACAATTCCGGTGTTTCGGCGGACTGCCATCTCCTCGACGGAGGCGTATGCATCTCGTCGCTTGGCCTGCGCGACTGCCTTGAGCAGTTGCGACGCTGCTGCGACGTGTCAGGAGAAGGTGAGCGGCTTATGGAACGCCTCCTGGCCCACGCTTACTCTTCACTGTGCAACTACTCAGCTACAGTGCCATGGTGACATGCTTCAATGCAGTCCTGTCTCTTGAAGACTGGTTCAGACGCTGCACCCGCGCTCAGATTGCTCCGACATGGCCGGGCAGGATGGCTGAAGCCTGAAACTATAAGGAGCCATACAGGCCATCGAAACACATGCCGCACATTCAGGAATACCAAAACCCCAAGCCTTCAACACCCGATCAAACCCGGTAATCCCAAAAAACTCCCAAACTTCCACAATCCATGTGAAATCTCGGTGGGAATGAGAATTTCTTCAACCTGGAAGGCCCCAAGTCACCTTTCCATTGAAACCGTTCATCCTCATCCTATTGTTGGCCTAAGCCCGATTTAGCCTTCCCACGGCACAGAGACGTCTACACCCCAAACCCCAAGCACCTAAGCCTTGCAAAACTCAAAAGACCTTTTGCTGCCCCGCTAACACCAACCTTACCCTGTTTAGTGAATAAGATTCATTTTAACTTATCGGAACTTACATGAAACCCCTCGCGGCAAATCGATCACCGCCCTCAAAGGAGGCTGAAAATGGTTCTCGGGCCGGCACCAACTTTTGGGAATGGCCTCTTCGCCTCAACCTCAGGGCTCAGAGGGTTAACTTCAACACCGCGGTGTAACAGACAGAGCTGTGGAAGCAGCTTGGCCTCTATCACTTTTCAAAGCCTGATCACTTTCCTGTTCCAGACATGTGTGGCTCTGCTTGTCGGACATAGGGCGGTTGCTCCCAGATAATGGTCAAGAGGAGCATGGAGGAGCTGGGACCCCGGAATCAGGGACTTCTGTGGTTGACTTCGATGTTTGGGTCGAGAAGTTTGCCCGACGAGTTTAGCTGTGCTGATTCTGTCGTGCACGGCCCTTGATGGAGTGCTGCTGACTGGGATCCTGGCAAGCGTCGGCACAGGCACTGCACGGACAAGATTGAGCCAAAGGGCCATCGAATTGCTGTACCGTTGTACACTTCCCCATCCCCTGGCATCCACGACAAGAAACATTTAAAGGCGTTAGAAAATGTGGGGTACAGGATGCCACGGCTTTATTCCTGGCTCCACTAGTGATTCCACTCGTTACTAGCACATAATACATACGTCATGAGTCTTGGATCAGCTTGCATAGCAGCAGCAACAACACCAGCGCCAGCAAGAATATCAGTGGCAAAAACTACAGCAACACCACCACAAAACATCGACAGCAACTGTACGTGCAGTACAACGTGTGCCTTCGGCCTGCTCAACAGCAGGAGTGGGGACTAGTATTTCCGAACTGGTCCAGGCATTTCTGGACATCTGCTGCCAGGTAAACTCAAGGAAGAATGCAGATGGCGAAAGTATCGTGGGCTTCTGCAAGGTGTGAGCCGAGAGACAGAGCGAGACTTCCAGATTGACTGTCAGAGACTGTGAATTGCCTTTAGGTATCCTGTAGATTGTGTAGATGTGAAGCCTCAGCTTCTCACCTGCAATCCAGAAAACTAACACACACACGAGTGCTTTTTGCCAGAGCGCTTGGGCCCAGAGTGGGCTGGAATTTGAAGTTCGCAAGGGCATCGATGAAGCGCGGCAAGACCTCGCAGAAGAAGACTGTTCCGACTAGGCGGGCTACCGGCTCCTGTGGCTGCAGGGTGAAGCCTGTCCGACAAAACTGTTGCAAGGTGTGGATGCTGCTTAAGTGAGTGCATGTCAGTCTGCAAGCAATTCTTGGATGCCCACATGTCCGATAAAAAGTGTGTGTGTGTGTGTGTGTGTGTGTGTGTGTGTGTGTGTGTGTGTGTGTGTGTGTGTCTGTGTCTGTGTCTGTGTCTGTGTCTGTGTCTGTGTCTGTGTCTGTGTCTGTGTCTGTGTCTGTGTCTGTGTCTGTGTCTGTCTGTCTGTGTCTGTGTCTGTGTCTGTGTCTGTGTCTGTGTCTGTGTCTGTGTCTGTGTCTGTGTCTGTGTCTGTGTCTGTGTCTGTGTCTGTGTCTGTGTCTGTGTGTGTGTCTGTGTGTGTGTCTGTGTGTGTGTCTGTGTGTGTGCGTGTGTGCGTGTGCGCGTGTGCGTGCGTGTGCGTGTGCGTGCGTGCGTGCGTGCGTGCGTGCGTGCGTGCGTGCGTGTGTGCGTGTGTGCGTGTGTGCGTGTGTGCGTGTGTGCGTGTGTGGGTGCGTGTGTGCGGGTGTGGGTGCGTGTGTGCGGGTGTGGGTGCGTGGGTGCGTGGGTGCGGGTGCGTGGGTGCGTGCGTGCGTGCGTGCGTGCGTGCGTGCGTGCGTGCGTGCGTGCGTGCGTGCGTGCGTGCGTGAGTGCGTGCGTGCGTGCGTGCGTGCGTGCGTGCGTGCGTGCGTGCGTGCGTGCGTGCGTGCGTGCGTGCGTGCGTGCGTGCGTGCGTGCGTGCGTGCGGGCGTGCGTGCGTGCGTGCGTGCGTGCGTGCGTGCGTGCGTGCGTGCGTGCGTGCGTGCGTGCGTGCGTGCGTGCGTGCGTGCGTGCGTGCGTGTGTGTATGTGCCTATCTGTACATATAATACATATATATATATACACACACACCGGTTTTTTAGTTAGTGATTGCACATGCTTGCTTCTATAGCTCACCTTAGTCTATTAATCTATGTCACTTATATGCGGTAAACTCATCTTAGCTGTCAGAGCAAACCATGGCCTTTACGATATGGTCACTGTCTGAGATACCACTGGTCTTAGGAGTTTCGGCCACAGCTCTGGTGCTCGCGCCTCTGGTGCGCAGACCGCCAAGTACACGCCGTCTGCTTCAAGGAGAGCTTGCAAGGACGCCCAGCCATAGAAGAAGAAGGTGAAGAAGAACGTCACCTGAGTTTGAAAACAGTTAGTTTGGAATCCCTAATCCACCAACCCTAACTGTTCTCACGGTCAAACCAGAGTGATTCCCATCTCCCTACGTCTCATCTTACCTTGACATCATAATGAGTCATGACAGTGTAATGGAACCCTGAACTCCCAAAGCCAGGAAACACTTCAAGCTTAAAGCAGCTGTGCTCCAGCAGACCCAAACGCGGGGTCCTGCAACTATGCACCTTTTAGACCTCGATCATCCCTGGCGTAAACAAACCTACAAGAACCCGCTGTCTCGCAATAGGCCCCTCTATATTCTCGATGAAGGTTTATACAACACCACAAACTTCCGCCCTCCCTCCACTAACCTACAAGACCTTATATACGGTCTTGTAGCACGTCCTCATAATTTGCTGCTCCATGAAATTCATGATGCAGGTTGATGTATCTGTTCACCCCGACAAGCACAATCTCGGCATAAGAGCCAATGTAGAAGTTTGGATAGATAGGCTTTGGGGGCGGCTTTTGCTATGGACATATTCCGGAACCCAAGAAAAGACTCGAAAAGACTGGTACTAACTATCTAGGCATTTGCGCGACTAAAGCCTACAACAAATCCAGAACGCCTAGCTCTGAAATCCGGAAGCACGCCAAGAAAGGACATCTTGCTCTGATCCATGTCACAATGCTGCCGTTGATAACCGTCCTAGGATGCCAAGGAGAGACGTTTCAATGAGCTGCCGAGGTGCTTTGTGCGTTTAGGGCTGAGGGCCAGATTTCATGCACGAGTTGCTTCCAGGGCGTCGGCTTTGGGTTTGAGATTTAAGGAAGGTGGACATTCCAGCTGAGGAGGAGCGTCGGAATTCGGGAGCGCTCGACCTTGCAGCCGGTTAGCGCCCCCTATAGTCCCTAAACGCGAGTCCTTTGGCCTCACACTTCGAGACAGATGTCAAGTTCCTCGCGAAACACTCTCTACTCGATACACCACGAGCGAGGAATTTTCTCAGTTCAGAAAAAAACAACCTATAGAGTTCAGGCCAAGTTCCGTAAGGAACTATTCAGCACACACCCTGCACTCGAGCCTCTTCACCCGAAACACCATATGACACTTATCCCTCCCGTGGATATTGCTCTACACTCCAAGACCCTGAGCCCCAAAATCCATAGGCATCCTAAACCGCATATAGTCAACCATCAATGACTGGCAACTCCGCAGAAAACCTAATAACCCGTACTTGCGGCACAACTTTCTAACAAAAATCACCCTCTCTATGTGGCGTAAAGCATGTACTCTCCCTTCAGCAACGGGTGATAAAAGTTTGGGATTCCCCGGTTCCAAATCCCACACTCTAAATCCCCAACTTTACAAAAGAAACTGCGACCTCCTGAACCCTGGACTCCACACCCGCAGCTAAACCCCAGACTTGAGCCTTCGGCCAACCTCCATCAGGGTTCGGGGTTTAGGGTACATTGCTACCAAGTGCGATCCTAAACCCAAGAACCAAATTACTGGGTCCTTGGTGCTCGACTGCCTTATCCTGAAGCGCCCTTAGAACCATAACAAAAGCATGTTCCAAATCACATGCCCTGGTAGTTTTTTTCAAAGAAATAAAGATAAGCCAACACATTCTTTAGAGCACTAAAGCACCCCGGCTGACAAGGGTCACCCACTCGCGGAGACCCGGCTCCGGTTTCCCAGCATCCGCCATTGCACCCAACGAGCGCTTTTGTGTGGAATTCGGTCTAGGGTTCAGGGATTGCCGTAGTTTTGAAGGTCCATGCCAAGATTTATCGTGGAATAGGTACTTCTCTTAAACCCCACGGGACATTAACGAGAATCCAGATCTGCGGCACGGGGTGGGGTTTGAGGGCCTTGGGATTTAGCGATAGTGGGGTGTAGGGTTCCTTTTCTGGTTTGGGAGCTGCCGGCTGCAAACTTGAGAGGAAGGAGGCAACAGGCTGCGTGGGCTCCATTTCAGTCTAAGTTTCGGGCTTATGGACTTTAAAGGTCTCTTTGCTGGGATTCAAGAAGGATGTTCATACTACAACCTGTAAGAAAATGCGCGTGAGCGGGTGTCTTCGGATTTGGGACTTTG